CACCAGGAATGAGCACTGGGGTGTATCACCAGGAGGGAGCACTGGGGTGCATCACCAGGAGGGAGCACTGGGGTGTATCACCAGGAGGGAGCACTGGGGTGTATCACCAGGAGGGAGCGCTGGGGTGTATCACCAGGAGGGAGCACTGGGGTGCATCACCAGGAGGGAGCGCTGGGGTGTATCACCAGGAGGGAGCGCTGGGGTGTATCACCAGGAGGGAGCGCTGGGGTGTATCACCAGGAGGGAGCGCTGGGGTGTATCACCAGGAGGGAGCGCTGGGGTGTATCACAGGAGGGAAGCGCTGGGTGTATCACCAGGAGGGAGGCTGGGGTGTATCACAGGAGGGAGCGCTGGGGTGTATCACCAGGAGGGAGCGCTGGGGTGTATCACCAGGAGGGAGCGCTGGGGTGTATCACAAGTTCTAATAAGACACTGTATATTACCTCCAATAAATGTTTCAGCAATTTTGTCCACATATGATAGTACTGCTTCTTTTATAACTGTGTTGATTTAATCTTTATTTTTAAAGTGAATGTTTTCCAGTCAGTGAAGAGGCTTTCATTCATCTACTTTTCAATAAGCTTTCACTTCATTCAGAAAACATTCAAACTATTGTTGCTTCAAATCTTACATAACTTTCTAAATTGATGAAATGTCATATTTTTTATCAATAGTTTTCTTTTCAGAAGTGGAGTATTGTTTTATTGTGTGTTCAGTGTACCTATTGACTATTTAACCCTTTCAGGGTCCAAAGGCCAAATTTCTAAGTGCACACCAGTGTCCAAAAAATTTTCAAAAAATAGTTTTTTCTTATGAAATAGTAGAGAATCTTTTTCTGAAGGTAATAAAACAAAAAGTACAAAATTTGATGGAAAATTGACGAAATTATGCTCTCGCAAATTTTGACGTGTCAGCGATATTTACGAATCGGCGATTTTGCCGACTTTGACTCCCATTTTAGGCCAATTACATTATTCTATTCAACCAAATTATTAGCTATTTCACGAGTATTACTTCTATTCTATCGATTGAGCACAAGAAATCGCCAAGTCAACTGTTTCAACTACAAAATAAAGTGATCAGAAATTGGTATATATCTTCCATTCTATCAAACGAGACAAAGAAATCGCAAATACAACTATAAAAAAACATACGAAAAAACACTGCAAAGTCACTGTTTTAACCGAAAATTACGGCCTCAGTTTTTTTCTCTCATTACACACTGTGCTGCAGGATTTGTTTTATGTGGTGCACACATACCACATAGATGTATTCTCTCATATCTAGACACAAATTTACCACTCACAGCTTATCAGAGTGAGCTGAGCTCATGGTGTAGATCTACGGCTTGGACCCTCAACTTATAGCCGTAGATCTACGGCACAGACCCTCAAAGGGTTAATTTAAAAAGATGCAGTTTTGTGTAAAAGTAATAAGGATCTGGTACTTAACACTTGTTCGGGAAATGCCACTTAATTTTGCTGGAGTTTTCTGCTGTACGTATTTGACACCAGTGATCATAGATTATTGGTAAGTGAAGTTATTCATTGTGCTCTTAGAGAAGATACATTTTCTCCTGAAAATTCTTTATGTGAATAACAAAAACAGAATTCATCTGTAAAGCCTGGAAACTTAACTAATAAACAGAGGAAATGCTATTTTAGTGCCAGGAATGCCTGTTCTGGACCCTATTTTGAAATTGGAATACAGTGGAACCTCTACTTGCGAGCGCATCCACGTGTGAGTTTTTCCAAATAGCAGCAGTCGATGGGTCGATTTTTTACTTACATACGCGAGCGAAATTTCCATAAGCGAGCAGACCGCAAGGGAGGTTCCTTGACGCTGGTGAGGGGCTCTTGCTCTTGATCTAGAGAATTGGATCTCGTTTGTTTGTTGGACTATCTTATTGAAACTTGGGAAATGTATGATGGAAAGATGCTTTTTAACGTACACCAAAAATTAAAGAAACTGGGGCATAAATAATAGAGTTCACTTCTCAGCAAATAGCCACCCCTTAGCGGTATTTTCGTGTGTTTTTATGGTTGTATTCTCGTTTTTTTGGTCTCGTTGGATAGATTGGAAGATATATTACAGAAATAGATATGATTTTCACTGCTTTCAAAACGAAAAGTACCTTGAAAATGAGCTCAACGTAAGAGAAATGTTCGATTCCTTGGCTATGTTCAAGAGTAAACAAATGACGTGTCCATTCCAATATGCAGTAGTCTGCATAACAGTAAATCTTCTACTTTTTGTGCGAGTTAAAATTACAAATTATTTATATTGTAATAATAATAATATATAATAATAGTATAATAAATAATAATAGTACGTATAATAAAAATAGTAGGAGCAAGGGGCTAGTAACCCCTTCTCCTGTATATATTACTAAATGTAAAAGGAGAATCTTTCGTTTTTCCTTTTGGGCCACCCCGCCTCGGTGGGATATGGCCGGTGTGTTGAAAGATAGATAGATTAACGCTTTGACGGTTTTAGTCGTATATATAAGTCTTACGAGGTACCGCGTTTGATGTATAAATACTCAAATTCTAGTGGCTTCAAATCAAGCAGGAGAAAGCTGATAGGCCCACATGTGAGAGAATGGGTCTGTGTGGTCAGTGTGCACCATAAAAAAAAATCCTGGAGCATGCAGTGCATAATGAGAAAAAAAACTTGGACAGTTTGTTTTTAATTAAAATACCGACTTTGTGGTCTACTTTCATATAGTATTTGTGGTTGCATTCTCATTTTCTTGGTCTCATTTGATAGAATGGAAAGCATATTATAAAAATAGAGGTGATTTTGATTGGGTTTACTATAAAAAGAACCTGGAAATGGAGCTCAAAGTAGGGGAAATGTTTGATTTTTGCCGATGTTCAAAAGTAAAATAATGATGTCATTGTCCAATAAATGTCCAACTAGCCATTCTATTATGCAGTCATGAATGGGTTGACATTATTTGTACAATTATTACAGTATTGGAGTAGTCTGCATAACAGTAAATCTTCTATTTTTTGTTTGAATAAAAATTCAAAATAGAAAGCAAGAGTAATATCAGAGGGGCCTGAAGACGTGACTGATGATCAAAGAAAATGTTATTTTAGAGCCAGGAATGTCTGCATTGTTCATTCTGGACCTTTTTTTGAAATTGTCATTTTTTTAATTTTCGTGAAATTGGCCAAATTGCAAATTTCTGGCCACGTAATTGGGTAGTTGAAATTGGTAAATGGGCAGTTTCTTTTACTCAATCGATAGAAAAAATGGAGTTCTAAAGAAACAGCTATGAGTTTGGTTGACTGGAACAATGGAATTAGCCGAAAATAGGGCTCAAAGTGGGCGAAATCGCCGATTTGTAAATATCGCCGAGGTTGCTAACTTCACGAGAGCGTAATTCTGTCAGTTTTCCATCAAATTTCGTTTTTTTGGTGTCATTACAATCGGGAAAAGATTCTCTATCATTTAAAAAAAAAAAAGTATTTTTTTAAATTTTGTGACACCAGGAGACACCTGAGGATAGGGGGTTGCGACAGTCAAGGGGTTAAATGAACTGATAGATACATAAGCTGAAGAGTTAACCCTTAACCCTTTGGGGGTTTCGGATGTACTAGTACATCTTACGACCCAGGGTTTTTGATGTACTAGTACGCCAAAATTCTAGCGCCCTCAAATCTATCGAGAGAATGCTGGTAGGCCTACATACGTAAGAATGGGTCTATGTGGTCAGTGTGTGCAGTATAAAAAAAATCCTGCAGCACACAGTGCATAATGAGAAAAAAAAAACTTTGACCGTGTTTTTGGATTAAAACAGCGACTTTGCACTGTATTTTCGTATGGTATCTATTGTTGTATTCTAGTTTTCTTGGTCTCATTTTATAAAATGGAAGACATATTACTGAAATAGAGATGATTCTGACTGGTTTTACAATGAAAAGTACCTTGAAATTGAGCTCAAAGTAGCAGAAATGTTTGATTTTTACCAAAGTTCAAAAGCAAACAAATCATGCCAAGCATCCAATACACATCAACTGGTGAGTCTAATATTCTTTCACAAGTGCGCTGATATTATTTATACCATTTCTACACTAATGCAGTAGTCTGTATAACAGTAAATCTTATTTTTTTTTGTAAGAATAAAAATTCAAAGTGGAAAGCCAAAGAAATATAAAGAGGGGCCTGGGGATGTGACTAACGAACAGAGAACTTGTTATTTTAGTGCCAGGAATGTCTTTCTTGTTTATTCTGGACCCTATCTGAAAATTGGCATCTTCTGAAATTTGTGTGAAATTGGCAAAATTGCCAATTTCTAACCACTTTATTGAATAGTTGAAATTGGTAAATGGGTGGTTTCTTGTACTCATTCGATGGAAAAAATGGAGTTCTAGCAAAATAAATATGATTTTTGTCGACTAGTACACAGGAATTGGCCAAAAACAGGACTCAAATTGGGAGGAATCGCCGATGCGTAAACATTGGCGACACCGCTAACTTTGCGAGAGCATAATTCCGTAAGTTTTCCATCAAATTTCATACTTTTGGTGTCATTATGATCGGGGAAAAGATTCTCTATCATTTCATAAGAAAAAATCCTTTTTTTTTTTTTCCGAAAAATTTTCGACCCTGAGAACAAGTTTATGAGAGGGCCTCTCGACCCTGAAAGGGTTAAATAGTTGATTGAGCAATTTCTTGTGCTCAATAGATAAAATGGAGAACATACTAGTGAAATAGCTAAGAATTTGGTCTAATGGAACAATGTAATTGGCCAAAAATAGGACTCAAAGTGGGCAAAATTACCAATGTGTAAATATTGCTGACAAGGCAAAATTTGTGGGAGGGAAATTAATTTTTAATCAAATTTTGTACTTTTTGTTTTATTACCTTCAGAAAAAGTCTCTACCATTTCATAAGAAAAATTTTTTTTTTTTTTTTTAAATTCATGGACCCTGTGGGAAATTTTCAGATTGGGGGTCTGGACCCTCAAAGGGTTAAATATAACTTGGACAGGTACACGAGTGGGTGAGAGTTGGACCTGCCTAGCAAGGGCTAATAGCCCTACTGCAGTGTTCCTTCATTCTTATGTTCTTTTTTAACAACTGAGGCAGACAACAATACCTGATGTTGCAGATGTTGAACATGTTGCTGCAGTTCCTCCACTTGAAGCTCCAGCTTCTGAATTGTTTCATAGTGGTTGTCCTCAGCCTGGTCATGCTGAGCGAGCTTCACCCTCATGGCAGCTAACTCGGCCTTCAGGTAGGTTATGTGGCGGTCCTGGCCATCGATGGTGGTCGTGTGGAAGCTGATCTCCTCAGACTTCTTCATCAGCTCATCTCTGAGGAGCTTCTGCATCTCCAGGTTCTGATCCAAGGCACTGGACACACGAGCCTCCTTGTCTCGAGCCTCCTCAGCCTGAACCTCCAGTGCAGTGTTCTGTGTACAAAGTAATCTCAATCATTAACACTCATGTATGTGGTTAACATAACAGGACTTAGATCCAGAAAGACCTTTCGACTCATAATGGCTCATACACAACCTTGGCAATGAAAGGAATTATATTCTAGGTAAGAGAATTATATTTAACTTGTCAGTCAAGCACTATACTCTAAAAGTACAGGAGAACCCCACTTATACAGCAGGTTACTAAGGTTCCAGGCTACTGTAGGGCCCCTCTTATACAGCAGGTTAGGTTCCTGGCTACTGTAGGGCCCCTCTTACACATCAGGTTAGGTTCCAGGCTACTGTAGGGCCCCACTTATACAGCAAGTTAGGTTCCAAGCTACTATAGGGCCCCACTTAAGTAAGTTTATTCGGATATACACAAATACAGTTACACAGATTATCATACACAGCAGCATATGTGTAGAGAACCTGGGATAACCAAAACAGTCAGAGTGACTTATTTCTATTGGGGTCCTTTTACCTTATTATAATATAAAGGTTATATCTTATTATTATTCTATAATGAAGATAACAACTTATTATCATACTAAAAAGATTATCTACTACACGAGGGTCATTAAGACTATCTACAATATGAGGGTCATTACTAGGAATAAGGTAAAATTAGACCAGTGTTAGCTAAAAAAATAAAAAATCATTCCCCTCCCTTTCTGTAGCTACATTCATCAGACACCTTTTGGCACTCTTCTTGAACTGGTTCATGCTAAGACTGGCTTTGACATGTGCAGGCAGTCTGTTCCATTCCTTTATTGCTGTACAATAAAAGGTGTTTGAAGCCTGGCCAAAGTTGTGTTCTCTCCCCCTAGTACTATGACTGCTTATACAGCTTATACTTATACAGCAAGTTAGGTTCTGGGGTACAGTAGGGCCCCACTCATACCAGCAACTGCTGTAAAGTGAAACATTTATTTATTTATTTAATGTCTCTGCAAACAGTACATTGAGATTGTGTATATACAATAGCGGGTTGCAATACAAAGAGAGCCTCTATTATGCCTTGGCATTATGGGCCAACTTAACATTATTGGCTTACAGTCTACTTAATAGTAAGAAGTAGTGTATCATAGTTGTACAGTAGGAAAGTAATTATTTCATAGTTGTAAAGTAGAATATTAATTATAAATGAATCAAAATTTGTATAATACAAAGATATACGTATTTATATTCTAAAATGCTTTTGTGAAAAACAATGATTCGATTATATTCCTGTCAACAATGGATAAAAGGTTCAATGTGATTGTATCAGTTATGATGTGGGAGTACATAGGTGAGGAAATGTATACTGAGTATTTAGCATTTAGTCTAGGGTGATTAAGTGGCTTTTGAGAAGAGTCTTAAATTGATTTTCAGACTGTGTTACTTTAATATCTTCTGGTAATGAATTCCATATTTTGGGGCCCTTTATGTGCATAGAGTTTTTACACAGTGTGATATGGACATGAGGTATATCAAAAAGAGATCTGTGTCTTGTGTTGTGGTCATGTGTCCTGTTTAGGTTGGTGAGGAGAAGTTTGAGTGGAGGGTTTATATTTGCATGTATTGTTCTGTGTATGTAGTAGGCACATGAATAAGTATGGATGTTCTTAATGGTGAGCAGATTCAGACTTTTGAAAATTGGTGGAGTATGCTGGCGGGAGTGGGAATTTGTTAACATTCTTACTGCTGCCTTTTGCTGGGTTATTAGGGGTTTTAGGTGATTGGATGTTGTTGATCCCCATGCACAAATTCCATATGTAAGACAAGGGTATATGAGTGAATGGTACAGTGCCAGGAGAGCTGATTGTGGAATGTAGTACCTTATCTTTGATAGTATGCCTACAGTCTTGGAGATTTTCTTGGTTATTTGTTGTGTGTGTGTCAGGAACTTAAGGCTACTGTCAAGGTGGATACCTAGGAATTTTCCCTCTGCGAGTCTTGTGACTGATGATCCATTTAGCGTTATGTTAATTGGATCATTTGCAGCTTTGTTTCCAAACTGAATGAAATAGGTTTTATCAGTGTTCAGGATAAGTTTGTTAGTCATCATCCAGGCAGATATTTTCTGTAAATCAGCATTGACTGTGTTTGCTAGTATGACTGCGTTTGGGTGGGAAAATACATATGTAGTGTCATCTGCAAATAATATGGGTTTGAGTAGTTGTGATGCGTTCGGTAGATCATTGATGTAGATGAGAAAGAGGAGTGGTCCAAGGACGCTTCCTTGTGGGACTCCTACTGTGATTGGTTGGGTGGAGGAGTTTGCATCATTTGCATACACATATTGAGTTCTGTTACTAGGGTATGACTTTAGGTAGTTGAGGGAGTGGCCTCTGACACCATAGTGCATTAATTTGGAGTACAGTAGTTCATGGTTGACTGTATCGAAAGCTTTACGTAAATCAATGAAAATGCCCAGCGGGACTTCTTTCTTTTCAAGTGCGGTATATATTAGTTCTAGCATGTGTATGATAGCGTCATTTGTGCTTTTATTATTTCTGAATCCAAACTGACAAGGGTTTAATATGTTGTGTGAAACAAGGTAGGAATAGATCAGTCTATGAATTAATTTTTCAAAGATTTTAGAGAGCAGTGGTAAGTTAGATATTGGTCTATAGTTTCAGTGGGGGGAAATAAATGGGATTAAATCTGGAGTATCTGAGAGAGTTAGAGCAAAGGAAGGGGTAGCAGTAATGTTGAAGAATCAGTTATGGAAGGAGAAAAGAGAATATGAATGTGTAAATTCAAGAATTATGTGGATTAAAGTAAAGGTTGGATGTGAAAAGTGGGTCATAATAAGCGAGTATGCACCTGGAGAAGAGAGGAATGTAGAGGAGAGAGAGAGATTTTGGGAGATGTTAAGTGAATGTATAGGAGCCTTTGAACCAAGTGAGAGAGTGATTGTGGTAGTGGATCTGAATGCTAAAATAGGAGAAACTTTTAGAGAGGGTGTGGCAGGTAAGTTTGGGGTGCCAGGTGTAAATGATAATGGGAGCCCTTTGATTGAACTTTGTATAGAAAGGGGTTTAGTTATAGGTAATACATATTTTAAGAAAAAGAGGATAAATAAGTATACAAGATATGATGTAGGGCGAGATGACAGTAGTTTGTTGGATTATGTATTGGTAGATAAAAGACTTGAGTAGACTTCAGGATGTACATGTTTATAGAGGGGCCACAGATATATCAGATCACTTTCTAGTTGTAGCTACACTGAGAGTAAAAGGTAGATGGGATACAAGGAGAATAGAAGCATCAGGGAAGAGAGAGGTGAAGGTTTATAAACTAAAAGAGGAGGCAGTTAGGGTAAGATATAAACAGCTATTGGAGGATAGATGGGCTAATGAGAGCATAGGCAATGGGGTCGAAGAGGTATGGGGTAGGTTTAAAAATGTAGTGTTAAGTGTTCATCAGAAGTTTGTGGTTACAGGAAAGTGGGTGTGGGAGGGAAGAGGAGCGATTGGTGGAATGATGATGTAAAGAGAGCAGTAAGGGAGAAAAAGTTAGCATATGAGAAGTTTTTACAAAGTAGAAGTGATGTAAGGAGGGAAGAGTATATGGAGAAAAAGAGAGAGGTTAAGAGAGTGGTGAAGCAATGTAAAAAGAGAGCAAATGAGAGAGTGGGTGAGATGTTATCAACAAATTTTGTTGAAAATAAGAAAGTTTTGGAGTGAGATTAACAAGTTAAGGAAGCCTAGAGAACAAATGGATTTGTAAGTTAAAAATAGGAGAGGAGAGTTATTAAATGGAGAGTTAGAGGTATTGGGAAGATGGAGGGAATATTTTGAGGAATTGTTAAATGTTGATGAAGATAGGGAAGCTGTGATTTCGTGTATAGGGCAAGGAGGAAAAATATCTTGTAGGAGTGAGGAAGAGCCAGTTGTGAGTGTGGGGGAAGTTAGTGAGGCAGTAGGTAAAATGAAAGGGGATAAGGCAGCCGGGATTGATGGGATAAAGATAGAAATGTTAAAAGCAGGTGGGGATATAGTTTTGGAGTGGTTGGTGCAATTATTTAATAAATGTATGGAAGAGGGTAAGGTACCTAGGGATTGGCAGAGAGCATGCATAGTTCCTTTGTATAAAGGCAAAGGGGACAAAAGAGAGTGCAAAAATTATAGGGGGATAAGTCTGTTGAGTATACCTGGTAAAGTGTATGGTAGAGTTATTATTGAAAGAATTAAGAGTAAGACGGAGAATAGGATAGCAGATGAACAAGGAGGCTTTAGGAAAGGTAGGGGGTGTGTGGACCAGGAGTTTACAGTGAAACATATAAGTGAACAGTATTTAGATAAGGCTAAAGAGGTCTTTGTGGCATTTATGGATTTGGAAAAGGTGTATGACAGGGTGGATAGGGGGGCAATGTGGCAGATGTTGCAGGTGTATGGTGTAGGAGGTAGGTTACTGAAAGCAGTGAAGAGTTTTTACGAGGATAGTGAGGCTCAAGTTAGAGTACATAGGAAAGAGGGAAATTATTTCCCAGTAAAAGTAGGCCTTAGACGAGGATGTGTGATGTCACTGTGGTTGTTTAATACATTTATAGATGGGGTTGTAAGAGAAGTAAATGCGAGGGTCTTGGCAAGAGGCGTGGAGTTAAAAGATAAAGAATCACACAAAGCGGGAGTTGTCACAGTTGCTCTTTGCTGATGACACTGTGCTTTTGGGAGATTCTGAAGAGAAGTTGCAGAGATTGGTGGATGAATTTGGTAGGGTGTGCAAAAGAAGAAAATTAAAAGTGAATACAGGAAAGAGTAAGGTTATGAGGATAACAAAAAGATTAGGTGATGAAAGATTGGATATTAGATTGGAGGGAGAGAGTATGGAGGAGGTGAATGTATTCAGATATTTGGGAGTGGACGTGTCAGTGGATGGGTCTATAAAAGATGGTGAATCATAGAATTGATGAGGGGAAAAGGGTGAGTGGTGCACTTAGGAGTCTGTGGAGACAAAGAACTTTGTCCTTGGAGGCAAAGAGGGGAATGTATGAGAGTATAGTT